TTACAGCATTAAACAAGCCTGAGTCACAGTCGGCGTATCCCAGTTATTACTTGCCCATTTAAAAATAAATAAATAAATAAATTGCTGTCCATAAATTTATTTAAGTGAGCGCACACACACTAACCAGCTCTAATGTCCTCCTACTATGACATCAGAGTTTCCAGCACATCTAAAAGGAGAGGCTCAGTAAGTCAAGCGCTGTTATAAATCTGTGAATAACTTCTTACATAAAGAGCTTTTTAAGGATAAACCTGATGGAGCGTTTTTAAAAAGTAGAGAATTATTAGTAGAAACGATCTCTGTTATCACAGCAGAGCGGTGCTATCTGATCACACTGCGATCTGTGCATAATGTAGGTGTGTAAAGACCGCAGGAGCTTATTAAAGCCATGAATCAAACGCTCAACGACACTCATGAACTCGCTGATTTCCTCTCGCTTGGGTAAAATTGACAGTGTGGACATTTTTATTCAGTGAACCAGAAACCGTGTCAGTAACTCCTCTGGAATTGTCCATGTAGCTGCTGACTTTTCCATGCACGTGCACTCAAAAGCACACAGTGTGTATATTATAAAATTACTTAGGTTGGGTGAATTTTCCGACTGGTCAATGTAATTATGACAACATTGAGCCATATTACTCGTTATCTACATCCTGGTCTCCGGGGCAGGTTTTGTTAGGTTTGTTAAAAGTACAAGCTAACATTGTTTTCATTACAGCAATGGAAATAATTTGGAAATGATGAGGTCTTTTTAAAAAGTCTACACTGAAGTAATCTAAAATGTAAATGTATTTTGGAGAAAATCTGTAATGAGCATCAAAAACAAAAGAAAAAGGCATCGAAGCATGACGTGTTTCCTGCTATCACCTCAAGTGTTTCTTAAGATCCTGCTGTTGTTCTGTTTACTGTTTGTCTGGGTTTTATACTTATTTATATATATTGTCAACAATAGACAGCTGCTATTGTTTTTTGTTTGTTTTTGGGTTTTTTGTCGTTGTTGTTGTTGTTGTTGTTGACATGTCAGTGAGACAGTTCATGCTTCGAAAGAAACAAGATGCTAATCAACACTTGAGGCAAATCTAAAATCTAAAATACCCCTAAACTTTGCTCCAAAACAAAGACACACAACCTTGGGTGTTGTTTGTTTGCCTTTTCCTAACATCCAGTTTCCAAACCCTAATATTTGCTTTCCCGACCATTTATTATTAATTTAGCACTCGTTAGCAAGTCTTAAAATATTTCATCTAAGTGATTGGCTTTTTTTAATGGGCTCCATCACATGCCGTGCACTTCCTGTAACATGCATTAAAATCTGGAGGTGCTCTCCTCTCTCTATCTGGTTCAATAGTGTTACATTAAAGCCTCTGCCATCTTTTTTCCACTGACAGAGTTTTAAAAGCCGTAAAGCCATCAGTACCTGAGCAAGTCACTTACTGGTATCACTTTAATGCACATATATTATGATAATCTTGTTCCCTGCTTATTGCTGCCTTAATAATGGAACACTTCATTGATCCCTGAAGGAAAATCCTCTTTATGCCTCCACGTTCATGCTGAGGCTAGAGTGCAGTAACCTGTGACTGTGGGTGATGGATCCACTCAGGGATCTGTGAGCAGGGCAGATGCTTGCTGACATTTGTGTTTGCACCGTTTTTGGTTCAGTGTTTGACTAAAGCTCTGGATAAATACATTTCTGCAGTGGAGGTATCTGTATGGAGGTGTAATGGAGGAATCCTGGGGATTGTATCCTGGAATTTGAATTACAATTAATCCTTTTTTGCCAGGAACAGATCCTGATTTGCATTTATAAATGTTTTACTTAAATCACCAGAAAAACTGAGTTACAAGGAAAACGAGTTTGTGGTAAAGTGAATGATTGTTTTAAACTAAGTGCAAAAAGAAAGCGGTTTAGTGCATAAAAACATCAAATGCTCTGCCTTAGTTTGAACTATTATGCACTTTGTCAGCACGCAGTAATGCTCGCACGTCTCCATTTCTGATGTGACTGACTGTAGGAGGATCTTCTCCTTCTACAAAGCTTCTAAATAAGGAGGAAAAATGAATGGATGCAGTCTGTAAAGGGGAGTACATGTAAATTACAGTCACAGAAATATCTTAACAGCTGCCAGTGTTGCTGCAGTTCACTAAAACACTGCTGTAAAACCACAGCATCCCCCATGTTTGAACTCCCAGAGCCCCACTTTACCTTTTCCAAGAAATATTTAATTCAACAACACT